CTGTTCGGTTATCCACATTCTTCATATTCTTTTGTATTCAGCAAAATAAAGAAATTCATATGAGTTTGGAACAACTGAGTTTGAGTAAATTATGATTTTTTTTTTCATTACATATAAACTGTTAAAGGTGCAAGGATCTTGCACTTCATGAAGAACAAAACAGAAAAAGTGTTAATGCCATGACTGGGCAAATCTGTCAGTGCTGCAAACTGGGGTACTCAGCGCATGGTCTGCTGCGTCTTTTGGGAGCTTAGCTTAGCTGAAATATCACCATCATCTTTTCGGGTGTTTTTTTTTTTGTCTGTTTTTTTGTCTGTTTGTAGAAAGCACAACAACAATTCAGAAAACATTATAACAAGTCAGAAAACACAATGACAAATTCGAAAACAAAATAACAAGTCAGAAAGCACAATGGCAAATCCGAAAACAAATTAACAAGTCAGAAAACACAATGATAAATCAGACAAACCGAAAGAGGTAGGTATAGTTTGAGACAGCGCCATTGGTTTGGGATTACTCACCGCTGACTGGATGAGACATCTGTCAATCAAAAAATACGGAGTGTCTATTTACATTTAGTTAAAAGTGGCTACAAACCATCAGCTCCAGTCGTGCAGATGGATAAGCGCTAGTCGTTGGCATTTTGACGCGATCGACCCGGGTTCGATCCCACCTTTTGCCGAACTTTTTTTTCTCCCTTTTCAAATATCTTATCACATCGTAAAGGCATTTATTTTCAATAAAAATTCATCACAGTGCCGTGACATTCACTGACCGTGAAACTGACAAATGGCCAGTAAAGCAGCCGCGGCGGTGTGCATGCGCACTGACAAGCCAGCTGAGCTACGTGACCATAAGCACACATGTGCACACTGAATTAAAGCTGGAATGCTAACGTCCTGTCACACTCTGTAATGATATGGTATACAAACGCTAGAGGTTTGAGGATGTAAAATAGAAACAAACACTGAGATTTCCTTGCACACGTTCACACTCATGCGCTGCCATGTTTAAAGCTTGCAACACTTCTAATGTAGTGACCTTTACTGTTTTACACACTCATCCCCTCTGGCACTCAGTAGATTACATACAGCAATGCACAGACACATGCTCTTCTTACTGTCCTCTTCCTCTTTAAATATTTGTCATGTTTCAAGGCACGTTTTCCCCCTTCTGTTTAAAGATCTGAGAAATAGTAGAAAAGTGCTCATTTGGGTTGATTTTGATTTTGTTTTTGCATTGCTGGAGAAATGTTATCATTAATATTAATAACAGCTTGTTTATTCCCTTTAAAGCAAGCTGAGCACATCTTCAGCTATAATAAACTTGATATGATGAATAGTTCAAAACATCATCATTCTTTTTTTGTCACATACACTGTGATTTTACGGTGCTAATTAATCTGGTAACTGTCAAAATATCCACTGACTTAGGTATTACAGTTCCAGAAGTGCCCTATAAGCATAATTATTATGCATCACTCTGGAATACTAGATTCTAATTGGTCATTCGTGGCAACCAATGTTTCTTGTGCCACTCTTATATTAGTAATTAGTCTGTTTTAAACTCACTTTGTCTTTTTGTTAAATTCGTAAAAAGAATATGCTCATAAAAGTAATTTGTTCATGAATGAGACACGATTTAGTTTTGTGCACAAACATCAACATCGCACAACAAGTACATTTACTCTCTTTACTCTTTTTTTTTTAGGCATTGCGTGATTTATTTTGCTTGTAGTTTGGTGTTCTGCCCTCACTGGCAAAAGAATGCAGACATTCAAGGACCATTAACATGAACGGCATAAAAAATCATCTTGATTCTCAACCGTATTCTATTTTTCTTCTTCTTATTTCTTTTCCATTATTTGGTCTGGTAAACTGGTAAAAGGATAATTTCACACCAGCAGAACGAGTGTCCGGCTTTTATATGACTGCCAGCCATGATGATTTATAATTGAGGCTAATGCATAATAGCCAACAGAGTAGAGATCTAAAGAAACACAAGCTCCTCATTCCCTCGTTAACCAGCTGCTCGTTTTACAATAAACAACCATTTGAGGTGTGCGTGTGTTTTGTGCAGTAATATGTTAAGATTCTTAGAAACTATAATTGGACTGTTAATCAAATTATAGCAAGGTCATTCACATAAAAACAGTCCTCTCCTTTTCCAATCCAATTTGAATTGCTTCTAATTCATCCTCTCATGTTCTGTTCTCTTTCTCACTCCCATCCCCGGGAGTGAGCACTAAATTTAAGACTTTTCTTGTAATGTGCTGAAAGTCTTTGACACCATTGAACTTTTCAGCCTAGAGCCATTTCTTGCAGGCCAGACTAAATAAGAAACGATGCCAGTCGAATAATTTAAATATTTATATAAATATGGAATAATGCACTTCATTATCAATTACTATTCATAATGGATGAAGTGGCATTAAACTTGATGTGTTTAGCTTTTGATTAATGACCTTCCAACAGAATAAAACAATAACGTTTCTCTATGGCCATCAAAATTTAATTAGCAAACCTCAGCCTGCTGTGTGAATTATGTTTCTAGTGTTAAGCCTGCCAGCTTTTCTCCCGCTCACTTGCTCAGAGTCGTGTGGGCGCACATGTGTCTGTCTGTGTATGTGTGTTGTTTGTTCTGTGTACGGACCCCTAGATAATTGTTTGTCATGCTCTATTACAAAGTTCATCCTTGTGTATTCAAACGCAATAAGTCTTGTGTTACATTTTATATACATTAGATTCAAGGAAGCTGCTAATCGGAGGGAGCAGATGACCCATGGTTAGCCAGCTTTTATTAAAGTTGCATTCCAATTGCCCTCCCCTCATTATACTGCCCCCTATTTTATCATGAGCTCTGTTTTGTTCTAAACTGTGAATTTTCAGTTGGTGTTTTTCCAACCCAGCAACTATATCATTCATGGATTCTCTCAGAAGGCAAACAGACCAGTAAAATGTCTTTGCATTCAAATTGCACAGTGCATTTTGAATAGGTTATCAGTACAACTTTTAGTATGCATAATATTTTGTAAAATAGGTTGTAAAATAACTTATTTATACACTAAACTTTTTAATGAGCAAAGAAGTACTAGCCAAAACAAAATACAAATATTGGTTTGGCCACCTAATTGTTTAAACCTTTATTTTAAGGTGTCCTTTTTTACACACGTTGCTTACTATTATAATAACAATTAATTATGCATAATTACATGCAAGTGACTCTAAGCCAAAACTTATTCCTAACCCTAACCCTATGGTAAGTACATGATGTTAATTAATATTACTCAGTAAACATATAATTGCACTGTAACAAGGACACCTTAAAATAAAGTGTAACCAAATATGTTAATATATGTATACAGCATACGGATGCTAACAGCCCTTAGGAAGGTGAACAGTTAATAAATAAATAACTATAGCCTATAAAAATCACAAAAAGTGCCTGAAATACACTAGAGATGGATCATTCACGAAGGACATATTCATTGCATCTGTTACATGACAAATGAACGAAAAACTCAGGAGGTAATCATTTCTCCTCATAAATTATCTTTGGCTGCATTATATTGATTTCCTAATTCGTAATATGATCAAGATTGTGTAGTAGGTGGACATGTTCCATCACTATTAATGACCTTAGTCAGGTTAGACGCCATATAGAATTTCAGACAGATGAAAATGAGGTTGCGAGGGATAGACTTGCAGTCTGAATTCATGTGTGAAAACTTATCCTTGAGTGATAATTAATGCATTTACTAACAAACATGCACTAGCATGTAGTCAAGGGTGTTGTTATTCACACATGAATGACACACATATGACTTATGTCATAGTTAAAGGTGGGGTAAGTGATTTCTGGTAGCCAATGTTGACATTTGAAATCACCAAAACAAACACGCCCCTACCCCAAAAGGGTCTCGCCCTTATTATGATAGCGCCACCCAATACATACGTACGCAACCCAGGCAACAATTAGTTCTGTGAAACAAAGCAAAACCAATGTTACACCGTGTCTACACCGGACGCGAGTGGCGCGACAAAGTACTATAGAACTCATTATAATCAGTGATGCTGTCTACACCATAGATATATACACACGCGGCACGACACGACAAATCCCCGACAGACAACTGCTGCTGCGTTCTATTCATGACGTATTGACACAAATTTCAAATGATTTTCAACAATCGCTTTGTCGCGTCCAGTGTACAAGACAGCCTTTAGCTGTTGCGGTGCAGACACGGTGTTACTCACCTATTGAGAAGAAACAAAGCAACCTCGGCATCCGATCGCAGGCCTCCGCTCCTTGAGTTCTCTCCAGCGCTGGAAAGCTGATCCGATATTTACACGGGTCCTACTTCTTGCCATATTGCCTTAAGCCTTCTTTTGTTCCGCAGACGATTTCCTCTTTTGTTTTTTATCCACCATCTCTATCTTTCTGTCGCTCGGCTCGCCAATGTCCGTCCTCTGCACTGAGCGCTCTCTCCTCCACATCACGAGTAGACACGCCCCTTACTGATGACTGGCTACAAGTTTGTTTTGCTAGTCGGCCCGAATCAATTTTCTAAAGCGTTTTTGAAAAATCGCTTACCTCACCTTTAAGGTTAGTTCTTGATTAGTACATGCCTTAACTTATCATTAGTACATATTAAAGTAATTTTTTATGTAAGTATTAGTCCATGATTATTCATTGTAAATGGTTGCTAAAACTATTTAGTCAAAAGTATTCGTTTTTATAAAGACTGCATTAAGAATGCTCACATGAAATTAAATACTATATATATACTAAATATAAAAAGGCAAACCTAATATTTAGTGCTAGTTGAACTAACCAGTCAGTCTAGAAGTATTGTTTTATGTGCACTACTGTCACCACACTTCAGCATGTAGATATGAAAAAAACGCCCATGCAGTAAATGGTAAACGTGAACAGCATTGTAATTGTTTATAAAAGTCTGGTCAGAATAAACCAGTACTGCTGTGGTTTGTCTCTCTAAGATGCCTACACCAACAATGAGGTTATCTACATCTGGACAGCAGATGATGAGAAATCTGTTTCTGTGGCTCCTGATGGCTCTAGACTCAACCAGTATGACCTGTTGGGCCATGTCATTGGCAAAGAGACCATCAGCTCCAGTACAGGTAAGTACTTTTATATAGTGAGGTTAAGCAGATCAAAAGTGCTGGTTATGATCTAGGCAAATGGTAGCGAATGAAGAAGTGAAAATATAACATTGTTTTACATTTTTAAATCATTGCATAATTCCCATTGCATTTCTGTTATTTATAGTTGTAATGCATTATTTACTATTATTCTACAATGTGGAAAATCCATGTATATCACATTATCTTTATTGTCAATGACAATAAAGAGTGCATAATCAGTTACTAAAACCAGCATTTTCAGAGCTGTTTCTATGACATGTTGGACCAGGCAAAAGTGAAACAAGCAAGCAGACTGAGAGTTTCAATGACGATGCAGTTCTGATATTGTGATGAATTGATAATATTGATTGCATTTATACTGAGTCACAGCATCACAGTACATATCATGGTAATTGTCAAAACCCAGCTTATTTTCCATTTTATACAACAACAAATCCCATGTATTTACACTGAATGCTGCAGACTGCCTTTTAAAAGGTATCCTTGAAATATATAAAAAACATCTGCCTTCGTTTGTTTATCGGTATTTGAGGCATAGTTACAGATTCATGCTGGATAATGAAAACCTCTCTTGCTCTTTAACACAGTTTATTTATATGCATGAGTCTGTAATACTCTTCTGTACATAACCTTCTCTTTATGAAATCTCTCTTTTGACAACCTGGATTAATTAATTTTCCTTGCTTCCCACATGCTTTTCTCCTTTCTTCCAGCTTCAACATACGCTTACAAATTCCATTTTGTCTATTTGTAAAGCAATTTATCTAACCTGCTTTGCAAGCACCTAGCTTATCGATTGCTTCTGTCACAGTTATTGGGGTCATACAGCCTCTGTGAAGCAGGAAGGACTCAAACAAATATGAGTGCCCAAGAAAAGTGTGTGTGCTCAATAAGACGATGTGCACATGTCAAAATGAGAGATGAAATTGACCTCAAGTCTACATTATTTGTGGTGCACTGCTTCTACAGCCATTGAAAGAGAAATTGGTCATACATGAGTATGCTTTAATCCAAAGGTATTATATAGTTTATAGAAGTCCAGATTCAAAATGTCCCTCCCAGCAAAAGTCTGGGTCCCACTTTATATTAGGTGGACGTAACTACTATGCACTTACATCAGAAATAAGTACAATGTACTCTTTGTGTTCATGTTGTTTTTCAAAACACTTTTTCTGCTATTGAGGTGGGATACGGGTAAGGTTAGGGACAGGTTTAGTGGTATGGGTAGGTTTAAGGGTAGGTTCAGGTGTAAGGGATGGGTCAACACTGTAATTATAAATGTAATTACAGAAATGAATTACACATGTAATAGCATGCAGGTATTTTTAATACTGTATAAGTACAATGTAAAAACATGTATATACACAATAAGTTCATTGTATCAACTGATTAATTTAAATGTAAGTGCATAGTAGTTAAGGCCACCTGATATAAAGTGGAACCAAAGTCTGAATCAAGAGCTAATTCTTGCTCATGTGTGTTAATTTCTAGGAATATGTGAATAATTGTTGCATGACTGAGACAGGGAAAAATATAAAATGCTTTTACACATGAGCAAGAACTATATAATGTAACTAACAGAATGAAATGCACATGATTTATGTTTTTCTTCTTCTTTTCTTTTCTTTTAAACGGCTGCTTTTTGCCATCCTCGTGATGTAGTTCCTGCATCTGTTGCCTCTTGGCCCTCACAAATCACAAGCAGAGGTTAATCAGCATTTAATCAACATTTCAACTCCATGAAAGGACTGGGGGCTTGAGCTCCAGTGAAATAACACTGTTCCATACGACGCATAAAAATAGCAAAAATGAAAAATAAAAGTCTGAATTTTAGCCAGAAACTGACTAAATGAATGAATATGAGTGTAAAGTACATTATCATCGAAAGACAAAACCTACGAATAAAACTAAAATATTGAAATAAAAATGAACATTGGCAGACTGGCAGCTACAGTGGGTTGTTAAAATAAGAAGTAATGAATCATAAATTGACAAAACATTCATTCCAAGACTGCTGCTTTCTTCAGTAAAGAAAGAAATACTAATGTAGCATTAAAGTTGAGCAGAAAAGATGACTTACACTTGTAATAACAGTCAAACCGCATCCTGTTAAATATATATATATATATAATACACTCTCAGAAATAAAGGTACAACAGCTGTCACTGGGGCGGTACCTTTTCAAAAGGTACATATTTGTACCTAAAGGGTCCATTTTGGTACTTTAAAGGTACATATTAGTACTTAAAGTGTACATATTAGAACCTAATAGGAACAAAAGTGTAGCTTTTGAAAGGGTACCGCCCCAGTGACAGCTTTTGTACCTTTAT